CAAAAAGGGAAGTTTCTGCTTCCCCTGATTCCCTTTCTCTCGCTGACCAGAGCCTGTCTTAAATATTGACCCTACTTGAAATAGTTAAACCTCGTAACCATACTCACCGCCACTGCTTCAAACGAATGGGGAGGGGGTTCTCTCCTTAAACAAACTATACATTTGAACATATTTTTTTTTTTTGGTTAATGGCGGGCACTTGGGTCTATTTCCCATTGGCCTCAGAAATGCCAGAATTGCTACTCTCTTATCATTACCCAGTGAGCACCTATGGCTAACGGCGGTGGAGTAGCGTCGCCCACGTCATACAACCGCAAACCCGTTTATAGGGCGGGTTACATTCACACAATCAAACAGAAGAGAGGACATAGAACACAGAAAGAGAGAAAGAAACCCTGAGCGGGATTCGAACCCGCAACCATCGGCTCCGCAGTCAGGCACGCTAACCACTCGGCCACCTGATATACTGAATGGGTTTTAATGCAATGGCTGAAGTTTCAAGCAAAACAGTTTTCATTAGTCTACAGAATATTTCTACAAACTGCTCAGGAAAAATCGAGTTAACGATATATTCAGCGTTTGCCGCTAAAGGCGGTAATAACCGATTCGTTGGTGTTGAAAGTAGAGACATTAGAAAACGAAAAATAATAAAATCAGAAAAAAAGATGGCAAAGGGGGGAGGGAGCCAGGAGGTATCATGCCTTGTTTCGGCTGCCGATTTTGGCTACTCACAATTGACATAAATTTAGGGAACAGTCAAACGGAGTCGTCATGTACATTGATAAATAAAGAAGCAAGATATCCGATTAATTGATAAAATAGAATACCGAATGTTCCGAATTTAAAGTTACAGATCTTTCAGAGGTGCTGCCAACGTCATCTGTAGATTTTATTGACAATCAAGTGGTTTCTTCTTCACTTATAAACCAGGCTAAAATAGAGTATTTTTGAAACTCTATATTCGAAGTCAGTAGACACGATTTCTCAAATATTAATGCACCAATATTATTGAAATTTAGCAGACTTTCACTAGATAGAGTTTACTTCAGATTACACGGAAAGATTCTTTTGAATGCAACTTACTTGATAAGGCACAAAATCTCAGTAATAATTCCTTTTTTTTTCATAGAATTTAGTCAAATACTAAAATTTTAATTCATAATTACCTATCTTATAATTTAAATCTTTCCTTCAATATCTAGTCAGGTCAATAAGTGAGTAAAATATGTCAACAGTCCTATTAGTAATCCATAAGATTTATAGAAATCGTATCCACCCAATGGACACTTTTCTCCTATGGGGTTTCAAAATCAGTTCTTAATGGTTCAAATTTTAAAATTTTTTTGGTGAAAATTTTATAAAATATTAATCAAATCCTGTTTCCTAATAAGTTTGAATAAAATATTTCTTTTATATTAAAAAAAAGTAATAAAAATAGGCTTTTTTTTGTCCTTTAGAACCCAACTAAACACTTCTTTTTAAGGTTGCAGGATTTTGCAATACTGACATCTATGTTTACTTGACATTCGTCTCAATAATTTTTGGGGCTGCGTAACTTATACGTAAAAATTGCTAAATAGGAAAATTGCTTTGACGCGAAAAGTGAAAAAAAAAGCATTTGAAAAGTAATGCAACATTAAAAAAAATATTTGAAAGTGTGTTACGAATTCTTTTTATTCTATAAAACAAATGTGCGTTAAAAGTTCAAAACGAGCGCTTTGACTTTGATGAAGTTAAATAAGGTTAGTAATGTATTCTTTGATCTAAAACCTTTAGAACGACATAATGGAATTAAAAGATCGCTGTTAATGATGAAAGAGACAATAAATTTAATTAAGAATTCGTCCTAGTCATTAGGTTTAAAACACATAAACTTCATTCTCTCGGGGTTTTTGTTCCAGTTTAACCCGTGATCAGCTCTTCGTTCAACAAGTTTATTCACTTTATTTAAAGTGCTATTTGAAATTTCAATTAAGGTTGATGATAGTAATTAGGTACTTGCATAAGTATATACTAAAATAGGCAGATTATTGTATTTTCTGCATAATATTTTCATTTTTAAAAAATAAATTTCGTAAATTTCAAAAAATGTTTAGTAACAAAATTTTTAATCGTTAGTTAGATTTGAAAAGTCACTGAGGGAATGTTAATAGCACATTGAAATAAACGTCTCTCTTATTAATTATTCTTTTTAAATAAGTGTTAAATAAAAAGTATTATTCATATTTGGTATGATTTTCCAATGATGCTAATGATGATGTGAAATGTAAAGACATGAGACGATGTAATGATAAGCCGTATTTCCAAAAGATGCAAAAAAAAAAAAAAAAAAAANAAAAAAAAAAAAAAAAAAAAAAAAAAAAAAAAAAAAAAAAAAAAAAAACGCTTTTGACGAGAAAAAAATAATTCTGGAGCTTTTAGTACCCATCTTGAAAGAGTACCATGAATCATTTCGATATAAAAATATTACCTTTGATTACCTAATGGGACGTTTGCGGCGCCTAAAGACTTCCTTTTACTCGCTGTTTTCTAGCCGAACGCCCAATTTCCCTTCTGCTTCTTATTCACGCTTGTTGTTTTTCCAGCCGAATGATCAGTTTCCCTACTGCTTCTTACTCACACCTGTTGTTTTTCCAGCCGAATTATCGGTTTCCCTTCTGCTTCTTATTCACGCTTGTTTTTCCAGCCGAATGATCAGTTTCCCTACTGCTTCTTACTCACACCTGTTGTTTTACCAGCCGAATGATCGGTTTCCCTTCTGCTTCTTATTCACGCTTGTTGTTTTTCCAGCCGAATGATCAGTTTCCCTACTGCTTCTAATTCACACAAGTTGTTTTCCCAGCCGAACGCCCGTACTTTTTTTCCCCTTATAGATTTGGATTTCTGACCCTCAAAGTATTGACGTTTTCGTAATCTATGATAGGTGTTTTGTAATGCATTTTAAGTGGTATAAAAAATAAGGCATAACTAAAATTAATAACCTTTATGCCCCCAGTTTCAAAAATTAGGGAAATTCGGTAAAGTCAATCTGGTAAAATTAGAGAAAAGTTGGGGAATTTTTCTTTTTTTGACTGCTTGTGACCACTTCAAGTATAAACCACATTCAAAGAATAAATTTCAAGAGAGTAGAACAGAATTCAATTTTAACGCCATTATTAATTTTTATTCATTTTTGAGGTGTATTATATAAAAATAACAAGTAAATCCAACTAATTACAAAATTTCTCATACATTACATTGCATTTCTCGTGCGTCATAACTGCTCATTTAAAATGCACAAAAGGAAAAAAACAGACACACACACAAATTCGCTTTTAGAAATAAAAATTTTATACAAAAGTTTTTTTTCTTTTTCTTAAACTTTTTTTTTCTTTCCTTTTCTTAAAAACATTCTGTAGAACTCATTATTTATTAACTTCAAAAAGGACATTATATTTTGAAGTACAATTCTCCTTCAACTTTCAAAAATCCTTTTAAAACTCTCAGTAAAGTTTAATTTTATGTATAGTACAGGATTAACTTGAATATTTTCAAACTGGCAATAAAAGCTTTTCTTAAAAAAAATAAATTTCTTGTACTAAAATAAATCCTCTTAAGCGGAAAAAAGACATCGTTTTATTTTTCACTCCCCGTCGGCCTGTCTCAAAGTTAATTTATTGCCGCAAAACCTTTAAGACAAGATACTGACAGTGGCGAAAGAAAGACAGCGAATAAAATTGATTAAAATATAGCTTCAGACATAGTTATAAAAATAATCCATGTCCTTCAAAAGGGAATATAAATTAAGTTATGTCAACAATTTATACTAATTTATAAAAAAAAAATGAAGAATAGATTATACAGGATGTTGCACAATGACTACAAATTAAATTTATTTGTAGAATCTTTGTCAAAAAAATTTACATATTAGGGATTGCAAATTAATATTTAAATGAGGTAAAAGGGAGAAAAAACAAAAAGAGTAACAAAATTCATACTTATTAAATTATATTTATGGTAAGATATATATTGAATTGGATATGAATAAATAGTTCGTACGATTCCTTATCCTTTACAATATATGAAATATTGTTTATTTTCAGACTACATAAGTCAAACCTTTTTGTATCCACATCCGCTTCAAGGAAATTATATTTTTATTAGTCATCACTATGATTCTCCTTTCAGTATTTTATTTTATTTTAATATATTAGTTTATATTTTATAATTCATAATCCTTTTTAGGGTTAATTAATAAAACACAAGCAATGAGGTCATCAAGCCTAACTAGGTTTAGCTAAAAATACTACTTAAAGGTTTTGTCTTTTCTATTTTCCTTAAAGTATATTTTAAATATTTTTTTATATTTTAAGTAAGAAAGGGAAAAATCCCGCTTCATCAATCATAAGTAAAGTGCATTAGCAAAATATGTTTCAAGCTGGTAATATTGTGTTGATTATTTTATCAAGAAGGGAAAAACTTTCACTCTTTCTGAAGTTTTTTTTTTATAACTGTCGTTGAACAGCTAACCCGATTTTGAGTTTACGACTGCTAATGCTCAACTCCGCCACCTTGTTATTTTGAACCCAATCCAGAGGACAATGGAACTCTTGGATCTAGTATTCGTGAAGGACTTTCTGAAGAAACTACCCCGTATTTGCGCTACACGGAGAGGAAAATCTCCCACGGTTAACCTGATGGCTAGGGAATTATAACCTATCATCCACCTACCACTGAGGACATTTTACGTCAGCACAGTAGCCAGCTCGAGCCGGGTGCGGAATTCGTTTCGATCAGTTATTGCTGGGATTCGAAACCGGGTCAACTCATTGGGAGGCTAACACTCCATCCACTGATTGTTCTGACCCTGAAGATTATAATTATTATGAAGATGCCAACATTAGTTCAACAAAAACTATTGCTGACCACTTTAGCGGTTATGCACAAACTGAATACTATCGCAAAAGTTGAATTTTAAAGAGTAGCGAAAAATGTCTAAGAACTGATTAAGTTTTACTCACAGCGTCGATGAGTAGAGCGTCTCTTTCACCTTCGGCTCCAGAAAGTTTCTGGATAGAAACTACTCTCTGCTCACCCAATTTCATTTCAGCTATTGAAGATCCATTTTTGGTTTCAAGAATGTGAATCTTAAAATAATAAATTAACATTATTAAAAAATCATATGCCATTCTTAATTAACAAAATAAAAACTAGTCAATGATGGTAAGGTGTAATATAACCTATGAACTAATAAGATGTTTTAAGATTGTAAATTTAATCTGAATTCAACTATTGTGTTTTTTGAGATTGTTCATTTTTTTTTGCTTTTAAAAATTCATTTTCTCCATATATTACAAAAAAAAACCCCCAAAAAACCAGTATATTTAAATAATACTTGCTTTCAATAAGGTGAATCTTAAAATAATAAATTAACATTAAGAATTATATGCCATTCTTAATTTACAAAATAAAAATTAGGCAATAATGGTAAGGTGTATAATACAACCTATGAACTAATAAGATGTTTCGCCGGGGCGATGTAACATGTAATTTGCATTCAACTATTGTGTTTTTTGATATTGTTCATTTTTTTTTTGTTTTTAAAAATTCATTCAATCAATATTATACAAAAAAAAACAGTATATTTAAATATTACTTGCTTTCAATAAGATGGATCTTAAAATAATAAATTAACATTATTTAAAAACTATATGCCATTCTTAATTTACAAAATAAAATCTAGTCAATAATGGTAAGGTGTAATACAACTATTGAACTAATAAGATGTTTCGACGGGGCGATGTAAATATGTAAATGTAATCTGCATTCAATTATTGTGTTTTTTGATATTGTAAATTTTTTTTTAGAAATTCATTTTATTCATATTTTACAAAAAAAAACAGAATATTTAAATAATAATTGCTCTCAATAAGGTGAATCTTAAAATAATAAATTAACATTAATTAAGAATTATATGCCATTCTTAATTTACAAAATAAAAATTAGGCAATAATAGTAAAGTGTATAATACAACTTATGAACTAATAAGATGTTTCGCCGGGGCGATGTAACATGTAATCTGCATTCAACTATTGTGTTTTTTGATATTGTTCATTTTTTTTTGTTTTTAAAAATTCATTCAATCAATATTATACAAAAAAAAAACAACAGTATATTTAAATATTACTTGCTTTCAATAAGATGAATCTTAAAATAATGAATTAACATTATTTAAAAACTATATGCCATTCTCAATTTACAAAATAAAATCTAGTCAATAATGGTAAGGTGTAATACAACTATTGAACTAATAAGATGTTTCGACGGGGCGATGTAAATGTAACACATGTAGTGCATTGGACTATGGTGTGTTTTGATATGATTTTATTTTTAGAGATTCATTTTATTCAAATATACTAAAAATATAAATCTTTCGTTTATTTTTACTATACAATGAGCAAATAAGGGTCACCTTAATAATTTGTTATCCAAATTACAAATGTGCAATGTTGGCAAAAAATATGCAATAGCAATATTCGAGGTAAAATTATGAAAAAGAAAAGACAAAACAAAAATTCATTGCTAACTTTAACCTAGATTGAATCGGAAAATTACCTAATTTGATTAATTCTTTAACTAAAATTAATTAAAAATACTTGCACTGGTAAATCTAGCGAAAACAAAACACAATTACTAAATAATTTGATTATTATGTATTTCAGTTTCGTTATTCGGGTTAGTAATTTTTGGAATAATCATCAAACGTTTACGATCGATTAAAAATAACTTATTCTGTCTACTGTTTAAACATCTATCGTTAACGATAAAATGATTAGATGCAGCTGTAAATTTTCACTGGATAAAATAATAATTAAAGTTGAATTAAGTCAAAATTGAACAAATGCCAAAATGATCACATGTGCCATTTGTGGAAGAATAAAAATCTTCGAATGCGAGAGAGCCATATGAAGAGCTTTTTGAATAAAGCGAACAAGTTACTTTTTCTGGGGCATTTATTAATGGAGAAATAATCTTAAGTTGACGCATCAATATGGAGAAGGTTTAATGTAACAAAATTGTTTTAGCTTTCATTTTAATGTTATAAATTAAAACAAATATTGATTAGTATTTGGTTGATCAATATTTGATTTGAGTATGCTTGCGCGATTTTTATTTTAAATTAGATAGTGGTAAATGAAATAAAGAAAGGGATTACTATCCCACTTTTTAATAAATATTTATTGCTAAACCCAGTCCCGCCCCCAAAGGGGGCATCCGGGTATAACTTTTTAATAAATAGATAACTAAATAGTTTGGGTTTCACGTTTTTCTTCTTACCTTAATGGGATACTTGCAAGTGACGTATTAATTGGTGCAAAAGATTTTTTAAGTTACGAAATCAGACTAAAAAACGAACTTACTCTGAATAAACATACCTTTTATCGACGGATTTGTATTTTTGACGCCCAAAATATAGGAGGAAGTAGCAATCGTGGAAATATGGTCCCCGTAGTTTGGTTAGAACAGCGCTCCAAAGCTTGGATCCCTTAATGTTAAATGTACTTTTTGCTTATTTCGCTATTATATCTCAAGAACTTTTTAAGCGATATGAAAAAATTTTTCAAACAAATGTGAAATTCGTTTACCTAAAAATAAATCCATGAAAAAAATAGCTTTTAGTAAATATTTATTATTTTATTTAATACTAGCAGAGAAAATTTTGAATTGTAAGGTATACAATTTTTCGCTTCATTTCAAAGAATTATACATGGTAAAATACAAAATTCGAGCGAAATTGGTTGAATAGCTCCTGAGAAATCAAATTTTAAATGTACGACTTTTTTTTAATACGACTTCATTTTTCGCATAGAATTGTCTTTGGATAAACGAATTTTAAATTTTTTTGCAAAAATTTTTAAATTCAATTATAAAGCTTTTGATATATGGCTAAATACGCAAAAAGTAAAATTAACATTTAGGGGTTCAAACTTTGGACCGTTCTCTTGACCAAACTATGGGGACCATGTTATTCAGATTTGGCTACACCCTATATTTTGGGAGTCAAAAATCTGAATCCGTTGAAAAAAAGGCATGTTAATTCAAACAAAGTACGTTTGTGTGTTTGATTTCGTAACTTAAAATATCATCTTTACTTATTAATTAGCATATTTGAGGTCACACCCTCGACCCATTAAGATTGAGCCCTACACGTGAAGATCCGATCATTAGATCAAAAGTTATTCAGAATGGTCTGTTTTTTCTTCTTTTTTTTGAGCATGATACATAAAAGTTATATAAAGTAAAAAAAAAAATCACAATTATATTTTGAATGATTCACGAAAATTGACCATTCTAGAATTTTTGCCAGTTCAAAAACAGTTTTTTTTATTAAAATAGTCTTTCGCCAGCTCCAAAATTGTTATTTTGATAAAATAGTTTTTTGTCTTCTATCTCAGCTAAGTGCTATGATTATATATATATTTATAAAAGCTTCTCACCGTAGAATTAGAACCATCTTGAACAGCAACAGCAATTTGAGTGGACTTTGACCCAGTGAAATAACCTGTGGTTAAACTCCTGCATTAAAATTGAAACATTTTATTATAGTTATTATTTCAGAAAAGGCACATATAAAATTGCATTTCGTAAAATCATACTCTCAATAAGGCAGTTGTCCAAAAAAGCATTATTAAAAAAAGTTGTGTATTAAGAGAAATACTCATTCGCTCAAAAATGTAAAAATACACACAGAAAACAATTTCGAAAGATGCAAGACAAAAAGTTTGCTTCTGGTTAGTAACAGCATTTTTACGGTGGTCACTTTTCCAAAAATAAAAATTTTAAACTATTAAAAACTGTTTATATTATTAATGCAAAGCATTTCTTTTGAAACATTTCTCGCAACGTGGTAAAAATTATAAGATTCATTTAAAAAATGAAGAAAGATTTTAAGAAATAATTGTGAAATAATCGTTAAAAAATAATTGTAAATAACAATTGTTCAGATTATTATAAAATATTTTTTTTATCACCGTCGTTGAACAACCGAGGCACGTTTGAGCTTATGTGCACCAATGTTCATTTCTGTAGTCTTGTAATTTTGAACCTGCACCAGAGGACAAAAGAACGCCTGGATCAAGTATTGGGAGAAATTTGCCTTCGCGGTGGAGTTTTTTGACGGAACTACATTTGTGTTTCATAGAGAGGAAAATCTTCCACGATTAGCCTGACGGCAAGGGGACTCTAATTCATGATCCGTCACTCTGTTTACAGAAATAAGCAGTATAACGTTAAAACGAAATTAAAGTAACGATCATACATTAAAACACGAATTTGCAACATCTAAAATTTTTTTTCTCAAAACAGTGCAAGTTAGAATATCTGTTAATATATAGTTTTAGTTTCGTTGTAATTAATGAAATAAAAAAAAGCCTACGTGTCAGGAATCGAAAATTAATGTATAAGCTTAAAAAAAATAAATAAATAAAAATATTATCAAACCATGACGAACAATTGAAGGGAGATCTCTGATTAAAAATAAAAAGCCCTGTTTGATAGCAAAAGAAAAAAAAAGGAAAAAGGCGATTATTAGAATCGCCATCAAGATTCGTACAGTAATAAAATTGGTTTATTTTTATTCGATATTTTAATCCCCTCTCAATCGAAATTAGACAGAATTTGGTAACGTTTTTATAACAAATTTCACAAAAAATTGCTTCAGAAAACTTAAATTAAAAACCGAAATATTTACGGCGTATAAATTGAATGCTAGATAGTATTTATGTGATGATAATCACATAAATAAATAAAAACAACACTCCCATTAAAAACATGTAATCAGAAATAATAATAAGCAAATAATTTTACTGCAATTTGATTGACGCAAATAAGATACATAAAACATTCGAAAATTTTTATTAGCGAAGTTTACAATCAAGTTTTGGTTGGTCATATTGTGCTAAATTAAGCCTCTAAGAACAAAAATCAGTGATCTTCATAATTTTTTAATAATTAATGATTTAAAAAAACAAACAATTAATATCAAAAACTATATAATATACCATCTATCATTGAATATTTTGTCCAAATATTCAAATCAAAATTAAGAAGGTATGCGGAAGTTCTAAATAAATGCCCGTGATTCTAATTTCAGAAGGAACTTTCATTGTTTTCAATGGCTATTTAATAAAAGATTTTATGACATACAATATTCTTTTCACTTAAGGAATTAAAAATATATCAGACGATGAGGAAGTGATTTGCAAACGATTCTGAGAAAGATAAAGTAAAATGAAATTGTTTGACTCACGTGACATATCCGAGGGGGCTTGAAAAACGCTGCTCCCACGTCTTATGGAAGTGATGAAAAGGTGCTTGGGCCGTCACCATAGTAACCATATCGGCCCACGAGAGAACCAGAGAATCCGGAGTTGTCGTGACGTCACAGGCGAGATCAATCGAACCTCTGTAGCTCCGTTTTCTGTGAAAGTTCAAGGACTAGTTAAGACAACTTAGACAGGAAAATAATTTGAAATTTACATAACCGATGTTCGAAGCAGTGGAATGAAGTTTAATTCATATGATTGTGTCGAATATTGGAAACAAATGGAATGTTGCTTGCTAGTCAAGAAAAGAAATGGGTGTGACCGAGTGACCTTGAACTGAAATTCGTTAATTTGATTTATTTTGTTTCAATAATATTTAGCATCATAAAAAACAAAAATTTAAAAATCGAAACGTTTAAATAAAAGGAAAATCTATAATGTTTTCTTTTCTTTTAAGCAATGCATTATTTTCTTTCGTAAAAATAAAAGAATATTAATTCTGATTTTAGTTAGTCAAAATTCTTCAGTTTTTTTTTCCCCTCTGAGAAAATTAAGGATGATCACCGATAGACATGGTTTAAAGCAGCGTTCAACCCATTGGTTGTCAACTTTCAAAAGGATGTAGTTCTTTAAGAAAAAGTGAAAATTATTATTATTTTTTTTTTTTCTTAATGGCTTTTTTCCAGAAAAATAAAACATTCAATTTTACCCGTAGGTGTGTAATTAATAAGAAAATTTGAATTTAAATCTAAAACTAAGCAGTTTTAATTTTTTTTAAAGCCTAAGTGAATCTGAAAAAAATACCGATCGAATTTAAATAGAAACGTACTGCCACTTTTTCTTCCCAGGCACTTTTTTTTTAAATCAGCAGAATATTAATTCCGACAGCAGAATACGACTGAATTAATTTCATTAATTTGAGTAAATAATTCTGCTTTTTTTAAAAAAACAAAAAAAAAAATCTTTTAAATTGCACGATTATGCTATTTTTAGCACACTTTTTTAAAGCGATGAGGGAAAAAAAAACGTCTTTCGGAATAACATAGATAAATGTAACTGTGCAAAGATCCCCTTTAAAATTTACCAAATACCTTTTTATAAAATGAGAATGATTGCATAATGAATTACAATTTGATTCATAAATTTAATATCAAACGGAAAAATTAAAATCAAGATACATATACTTTTTAGTTAATTATGTAGGCCATTAATTTCTTCAAATATCAATACACCAGAACACGTTAAGTTGGAAAATTTAACAATATACCAAGCTTTTAAGTAGAAATAATTTTAAAATATCATTTCACTATTTTAAAATTATTTTTACTTAAAAACTTGAGTATAACATGTGGCCTCATGAATTTCCCTTATGGTCAACTCATTAAGAGGTTTAGGTTAGCTAAATACTATTCAAATGCAAATAATTTCGTTTTTTATCCTCAATTAGGGGCCATCTACAAATGATGTCACGCATGAAAGGAAGAAAAATGCTCGCTACATTGTGCAATTTGTGACTAGGGGTGGGTGACAGGAAATATAACAGCAAAAATTTTTTTTTTAGCATTTTGGTTTTAAAAACATTTAGAATCAGCAGAATAAATATTTTTAAAATACTTGTTTTCACATTCCCCCCCCCCCAATTTTTTCATCGACATAAGTACACATGTACACATAAGTATTAAAACATATCGGTATTTTAAAAACTATGTGGAAATCCATAGTAATAACTTTCTAAAAAGCGAGGGACAAGTCTTTCTGAATCGAAGATGGAATCATCCCAAATCGAGTCCATCAAAAAGGTGAATACTTAAATACTTGAAATTTAATATTCGTGTGTAGTAATACCATATTAAAAAAAATCGTAATTTTAAAAAAAAATTTATGGAAATCCGTAGATGTCACTTTTGAAAAGTGATGAAATAGTCACGAATCAAGTTTCAAAGAGTGATTACTTAAAGACAAGGTTCGATATTCGCGTGTCGTAATACAAAATGTCCGGATTAAAAAATAAATAATAAAGATAAAAAAAAAACGTGTGGGAATTAGTAGAAAATATTTCCGGAAATATATCGAAATAAGAAGACTGGGATTACAACAGAATCGTCAATAACTTCCTGATGTTAATGACCATTTTTGCTATCAAAAATCAATATCGCATCTGAAAACTTAAGTGTCTGCTCTATATTCATAACAAATAATCAATGCTAGAAAGAGTTTTTCTTACAACTAACTACCTGTACCTGATAAACACATCAAGCGATATTAATTCTGATTTGCAGTATTAAAATTCTGCCATAGAATAAATTGTTAAGAACACCGAAATTCAACAGCCATCTCTGGATTGTTAATTTTAAATTCAAGCTCATTCTTCCGATTTATATACTTAAATTAAAATCGCCTTCCACAGAGAACAACAAACAGTATTTCGAACAAGAGGTTGAACTCCAGTGGGGAAAGATTAGAATATTAAAAATAAAGAATGGTGCAGAAAAATGTTATGTTTGTTTATATTCATCATCTTACTATGTTATTGTTCGCAACTAAGCTCCGTGAAGAGATATTTGTTTAACTGTAAACGCTTGGGATTACAGTTCAAAATATATAAATTGGATTTTATTTTGTTTTGCTAGTTTTATAGCATATTAAAATTTTAGTGTTTGGAATTTAAAATTTATTGTAGTTTGAGAATTTATGTAAAAGGACTTTGAAGAAAGCTTATTAAATTTACTGAATGCTATTGTCTTGCGTTATTAATATTCTTGAATTGAAATAGTTACTCATGGGGATTTTTTTCNCTGCTTAGATTGTTTTTTTTTATTGCTTCGAGTACAAAGTTATTAGTTATCGAAAATTAAATAGCAGTAAAAAATATATATTGTCAAATGAATATAAACAATGATACAGAACAAATGCCAATTGTATCTGATTTATTAATTTTTTGTGTGTGTAAGAAGTTTTATAGTTCTCCGGAATTTAAATTTAAAAATCACGTGCAAATTATATAAAAAGATCTAATAGATTTTTTTTAAATATTTGAGTTGCCTATTAATTGTGATATTTAATTTGATGGCTTCATATTTCAAACCATTCCCTAGTCTGAATAATGGAGACCATAACACTTAAAATGTGGCTACCTGTCACATTTTGAGTGCTAAATATCCAATTAAAAGACAAAATTTGTTAAAGTAAAAAGGCATATATATAGTACATTTTTGTGTCTGATTTCGTACTTTAAAATATTGCTGCACATATTAATCTAATTTTGAATATAAAGATAAAGTAAAAACTTGCTGATAACTTAAAAATAGCAGAAATATCAAATCGAAAAATATTCAATTATAATGCGTGTAAAACAAAATATAATTATTATAAAGATTTAGGTAACTTTAATGATATACTGTAATTAATTCTCAGAAAATATGGAATAAAACTCTTAGCGAATTAATATATAATCAACGGGGTTTATATATAACATATACACTTTATACTTACATATAAACTTTATATATACATATAAAGTTTGAATTTTTTATACATAATTAAATAGCACCACTCCACCTTGAAATTTAAGTTTCAAGCAAAAAAAGTTCCATGAGGAAACTTAAACGGTTGTAGACACTTAATACTCTCACTTTAATTAAAATGAAATCTAACTTACCTGAATATAGGTTTAAAATTCACTCTTAGGTTCTCTAAATCCTCATCGTTCTCTGAGAAATCTAACAGGTCTCGTTCAAAAAATGTGAAAGCATCTGGAACAAAATAATGAATACGGGATTACTTCCATTTTTCTGCACCAGGATCAACACCAGGGCTTCTCCATTTTTTTTCGGCTACGGAACCCTAAATAATCAAAGTTTTTCGGTGGAACTCCGATTTAATAAATAAAGTTAAGGTAATTGTGAAAGTTATAACCTGTATAAACTATTTTTAAAATATTTAATTAGAGGAATGAAGATTTTTCATCTTTTTATCATTAATGATATTAAATTAGGTTTTATTTCCGTCAGTTAAATTTGCAGTCCTTGCGCTATATCTGGTCTAGTTATGAATTTGTTTTTGGTGTTTTTTATACATGAGTCAATAAAATAAGCCGCACCATATCACTGTTTTTGAAGTAAATGAAGTTTTATATTATCAAGTATATGGATGATTCTCACGAAATATGACAATTTACAGTACCTTGTTCCAAGATCCAATACTATGCTACTAAAAGAAATTTAAAAAAAAAATTCATAAATAGCATTGCTGTTAGCATTTTAAAATGACTTTGCATTAGCATTGACTGTTTTGTAAATTTAAAAAATTCAATTGAATTTCAAAATGTCATTTTCCTGGTATGTGACAAACAATATTTCCAATACTAACTAGCTTCAAAACTTCCCATTAATTATTCAATATCTAATTTTTTTTTATCTCAACCGTTGTAAGCATTTCTAGAATAGAGTATACGCAGAGGGTATTATTTACAAAAACTTTGTTGAAAATAATTTTTTCTGTCAATTATTTGTTTGTCACACTAAATTCTGTCATTTTCCTAGCTACTTTTATTTAGTGATTTATAACCAAAATAGATAGCGCAAGCAATCAATATCTTATGTTAATAGATTGCTTTGAATACCATCCTATCTGAACATGTCTTATTGCGTGAATAAAGAACCAACTTTCTGGTTCAAAATCTATTTCAAACAATTTTTCAAGGTGAGTAGGTTTTTATGTTGTCATTTTCCTGTCTTCTTGAAATCATTAATTACATAAACTGCATAGATTTATCTCAGTTATTTCAAAAAATTCTGCTTTCTGCCGAATGTAAACGTTTTAGGCCAAAATGTAAAAATTAAAGCTAAATGCTATAAAAGGGCAAATTTGTCATTATCCTGGCTGTCATTTTCCTGACTTACGAAACACAGGACATTGACGTGTTACCAGAAAATTTTATAAACAGTATATAGTAAAGAGGGAAAACAAATATTAACCTAATACCAAGTTTGTACAAGATTGTAATATGCGTGAATGTAATCAAAGCTACTTATATTTATTTAATGATTGATTATTATACACAATTTTATTCTGTACGTATCAGCAACAAAAACATTTTTGATTTTTTCTACAGTGGATGAAATAATTAATTTAAGTAATTCATGGTCTATCTAACATAAAGGCTTAAGTTGAGTTACTTACTATTAAGCTTGAAATCACTGTTTTTTAAACTTCTAAGCTAATATTTAATTTTCCTGTCATTCAAAATTTAATGCATTTCTAATTTACTTTCGTTTTCTTGAGGAAATGTCCTACACTGCTGTCTGTAAGATATTAATAAGTGTAACTAAATAAATACACAAAAAAATTTAAATTATTTTGAAGACTTTAAATTTGAAGAAATTTTTTGTTCCGAATTGTCATATTTCCAGAGAATCATCCATATAGGGTAAACCAACCAGTGAAGGAACACTACCCAGTGAAGGAACACTACCCAGTGAAGAAACTACCCAGTGAAGGAACATTTCATATATATTGATTAAAAATATGAATTTGAAAGTTTTTCTTTAGATTGATTGGTAACAATAGCTTACTGCCAAACAATAGGAAGTCATCTAGCAATGTTTTGGATTACCTGGTTAAATAGACTTCTCTAGAAAAATTTCTGAATTTGTTATTATCTCTGCAACACCTTGTTTCTTTGAAAGAATTATAAGGTGAGCGTTTATATTTATATGTTTGAAGTAGAATTAATTACATGTAATAGTTTTATTTTTCTCACTGTGAAAATAAGAATTCAAAATATAGTTATTGAAGTTATGTTTTATTTTTTTAAGCATCATAGCATAATAAAGATCACTGAGATTCACTGGATCACCAAACGATGAAAAACCAGTGAAGGAACAAGTGTTTCTTTACTGGTTTTTTTACTGCTTAATGAAAATAAAAGATAAACTTTAATTTTCTTGTACCTTTAGTGATGTTCCGCATCAAAAGTATGTTAAAAATTCGAAAAACAGCTTCTAACCAGTGAGGGAACAGGCATGTTCCTTTATATGTCATATATGTTATATTTTCAAGAATAGTCTTGTTTCTAAATATTTGTATGGCTTATAAAATCATAAAGAGCATTTAAAATAACCAAAATTAAGTGTTCCTTTACTGGATGTTCATTCACTGGTAAGAGCTGTTCCTTCACTTGGTCTTCTTACTACTTGTTATTTGAACCTCCAAAACTTTAAAACAATATTATGTAAGTTCTCTACAATTTTTTAACATAATTTGCAATTAGTAACAAATATGTTGACTCTGTCATTTAACTAAAATTACGAATTTTGAAATTAATATGATGTTTTAAAAAGCAAGCGAAGCTTAAGTGTTCCTTCACTGGTTAGTTTACCCTATCTCAGCTGTAGTTTTTTTTTTTTTTGGGTTTATTTACTTAACATTATTTTGTGAGAGTGGAAAAATTGTTCTTACCAACACCATCATTAGGTTGGCAGACTAGAGCCCAAACAAATCCAGTCTTAGAAGAATACCATGGGCCAGCTACTTTAATTGACACAGTCCAAGAGCAAGGCAGCGTAGCTATGGCTACTTGTTGTCCGTCTTCAGGAACAAATAAATGCAAGTTAGAACGGGAAATACCGACGAGGTATGTTCGATTATGTTTTTCTTGGGTGAGGAAAAGTGTGCTTATTGGTTCATCAGTCATAATAGTTCGATTCCAAATGATAGAGCCTGAAACAACATACATTAAACATTTAGTGTTTGACTAAATATGAAAAACTGCTTAGATTGTTTTTTTTTATTATTTATGTTTATGGTTGAGACAGATTATAGAGTTCAGCTCGAAAATTTATTAGAAACATCTTTCATAAACATTTTATGTTATTCATCAGCATTAAAGTAAAGATACTGATAAATAATACAAGATATTGTACATTACCTCATTAACATACTTAAAGGATTTAGTGATTGACTAAGTATTAAAAACTGCTTAGATTGTTTTTTTATTATTATTTATGTTTATGGTTGAGACAGATTATAGAGTTCAGCTCGAAGATTTGTTAGAAACATCTTTCATAAACATTTTTTATTATTTATCAGCATTAAAGTAAAGATACTGATAAATAATACAATGTACATTGTACAAATGTACATTGCCTCATTAACATAAAGCATTTAGTGATTGACTAAATATAAAAAACTGCTTAGATTGTTTTTTTTTTAATTACTTATGTTTATGGTTGAGACAGATTATAGAGTTCAGCTCGAAGATTTATCCGAAACATCTTTTATAAACAGTTTATATTATTTATCATCATTAAAGTAAAGATACTAATAAATAATACAAGATATTGTACATTGCCTCATTATACTATACATTACGTTTTTCATATGACTTTTTAAAATAATTATGGAAGCGAAGGATTGAATGGAAATTTTTAACAGCGTAGGAGGTGAAAATGATTATACGATGCCAAACTCAAAATCTTCCATTTTTCTAATATAATAATGTCAAAGAGTATCATAAATTAGATTTACCAAAAAAAAGAAGGGAAGTTAAAAGAAAATAAGGGGAAGATCAATAGGTCGTTGATCTATGCTTACCTGACAAAAGCGAAACTACACTTATTGAAAACAAATAGGTCTGGCGGTGATTTTAAAATGTATATGTTCACATTTAGCGACTAGGAACGCTCATTCAACATTTATATAGCTGTTTAGTGCATGTGCTGGATATCTATGTTTCGCATTTACGTAAGCAAATGTCGCAGAAGAAAACCATTCTCCGGTATTTCCTATATTGATGCTTTTTAAAGACAAAAATGCACTTATTTTTTTTAAGTAAAGAGACTGTCTGGTATTCCTTACACTGTTGCATTTTAAAGGTAAAGAGACTCTGCCTGATGGTATTCCTTAAAACTGATTTTTAAGGAAAAGAGACACTGCCTGGTATTTCCTAAACTGATTTTTAAGGAAAAGAGACACTGCCTGGTATTTCCTAAACTGATTTTTAAGGAAAAGAGACACTGCCTGGTATTTCCTAAACTGATTTTTAAGGAAAAGAGACACTGCCTGGTATTTCCTAAACTGATTTTTAAGGAAAAGAGACACTGCCTGGTATTTCCTAAACTNTTTTGTGTTGTCATTTTCCTGGCTTCTTGAAATCATTAATAACATAAACTACATAGATTTATCTGAGTTATTTTAAGAAATCCTGTTGTTTTCTGCAGAATGTAAACGTCTTAGGCCAAAATATTAAATTAAAGTAAAACTATATGCTATAAAATGACGAATTTGTCATTATCCTGGCTGTTATTTTCCTGGTTTATGAATTCCAGGACATTGAAGCGTTACCGAATTTTTTTTAAACTGCTAATACTGTAAGGAGGAAAAGCAAATATTAACCTAATACCAAGTTTATGTATGATTGTAATATGGTTGGATGTACTCAGTTATTTATTTATTTAATGATTGATTATTATACACAAATTTATTCTGTACATATCAGCAACAGAAAAAAATTTGATTCTTTCTACAGTGGATAAAAATAATTAATATAAGCAATTTATGGTCCATCTAACATAAAGGCTTAAGTTGAGTTACTTACTATTAACTTAAAATGACTGTTTTTTAAACTTCTAAGCTAATATGTCATTTTTCTGGCATTCAAGATTTGATGAATTTCTATTTTATTTTCTCGAGTAAATGTCAATAAACTACACTGCTGCCTGTAAGATATTAATAAGTGTGAAGAAGTATACAAAAAAAATTTAGATTATTTTGAACACTTTAAATTTGAAGAAATTTTTTGGTCCGAATTGTCATGTTTAAAAAGAATCACCCATATATATCTCAGCTGCAGTTTTTTTGGGATCATTCATGTAACATTATTTTATGAGGGTAGAATAATTATAGAACTTACCAACACCATCGTTAGATTGGCAGACTAGAGCCCAAACAAATCCAGTCTTAGAAGAATACCATGGGCCAGCAACTTTAATTAACACAGTCCAAGAGCACGGCAGCGTAGCTATGGCTACTTGTTGCCCGTCTTCAGGAACAAATAAATGCAAGTTAGAATGGGAAATACCGACGAGGTAAGTTCGATTATGCTTTTCTTGGGTGAGGAAAAGTGTGCTTATTGGTTCATCAGTCATAATAGTCTGATTCCAAATGATAGAGCCTGAAACAACATACATTAAACATTTAGTGTTTGACTAAATATTAAAAAACTGCTTAGATTGTTTTTTATTATTATTTATGTTTATGGTTGAAACAGATTATAGAGTTCAGCTCGAAGATTTATTAGAAACATCTTTTTTTATAAAAATTTTATATTATTTATCAGCATTAAAGTAAAGATACTGATAAATAATACAAGATATTGTACATTACCTCATTAACACACTTAAAGCATTTAGTGATTGACTAAATATAAAAAACTGCTTAGATTGTTTTTTTTTATTATTATTTATGTTTATGGTTGAGACAGATTATAGAGTTCAGCTCGAAGATTTATTAGAAACATCTTTCATAAACATTTTATATTATTTATCAGCATTAAAGTAAAGATACTGATAAATAATACAAGATATTGTACATTACGTCATTATACATTACCTTTTTCATACGACTTTTTATAATAATTATGGAAGCGAAGGATTGAATGTAAATTTTTGATCGCGTAGGAGGTGAAAATGATTAACTATGCCAAACTCAAAAGTTCCAACTTTTCTAATATAATATCAAATAGTATCATAAATTAGATTTACCAAAAAAAAGGAGGGAAATAAAAAGAAAATAAAGGGAAGATCAATAGGTCGTTGAGCTATGCCTTCCTGACAGATGCGAAACTACACTTATTGAAAACAAATAGGTCTGGCGGTGATTTTATAATGTATATGTTAACCGTGAAGGTACGAAACCCGGAGAATGTTCATTCAACATTTATTTAGTTGTTTATTGTATGTGCTAGATATCTATGTCTCTCATTTACGTAAGCAAATATCGCAGAAGAAAACCTACATTGATGCTTTTTAAAGTCAAAAACACACTTATTTTTTTTAAGTAAAGAGACTGTCTGGTATTCCTTACACTATTGCATTTTAAAGGTAAAGAGACTCTGCCTGATGGTATTCCTTAAAACTGATTTTTAAGGAAAAGAGACACTGCCTGGTATTTCCTAAACTGATGTTTTTTTAAGGTTAATTGCCACTGACCCATATACATTTGCTCGGAATTGACCACGATGATTGATATCGACTCATACACCAGTGATAGTCTGAATGTACAGGAATGTAATCTAATATTCGAACTTCTACCGACGTATTTGGTATGAGTTGACATTCACCAGTGAATGTAGAATATCTCCTATTTGGAACATTCTCAATAATATACTACGTATCATACTGGAATAAATATAGAAAATTGTATTAATAGTTTAATTTGTATCGAATGCAAAAGATCTCAGTGCTCACGATTACCTTTAATGTAGATTGTCAAAATACTTATGAAAGCGAAACATTTGCACACTGAGGGTGTCAATTTATTGTTTAGGCTAGGGAGACACAAAAACACAATCGAAATCGAATCGAATCACTAATAAAGAAACCGGGATGAAAAATAATAAAACCAGTTTGATTGCTTGTTTAAACTTTGAGATGCCTATGGAAGGCTATACTGAAAACACCAAACGGGTTTTAATGCTTTCAGTGCCGCCTTTCTTTCTGGTGATTCGTTAGATTTCAATAAAGTTTTTTTGTGTTTCTTTCCTTAATGTGTACTCTTTGACCCTCATTTTCATAAAGGATTCTAAAAATATGCAATTATGGAGGTTATTGTTGAACACCCATCTTAGAGGGAGGAGAGCATGTTAAATGGCATTTTAATGAATCATATTTTAAGAACTTATTAAGATCGGTTCTGAGAATAAAGAAACAAATTTGCCAAGGCTTCAAATTTTGATGTTTATGTTTAATGCTTTTTATAAAGTTTCAGAACATAAGTCGTTATTTTTGAACGCGGAATGCGCCAAATTTTAAGAAAATTTTTTTGTTGTAAGTTATTTTAGTTAGTTTTTAACTTGGCCAAAGTTATTAACTTGCTCATTGTTCGCCAAGGTAACGATAATGCTAAGTGTAAAATGATGTAAAGGTAAATAAAATTTCATTTCTTTCAATTTAACATAATTTACAAAGTATAAATTGATAACACAATCATTTCAAAGTAAAATTGTAATTAATGATAGATTTCCATAATATACAATATCCAATCCATATACAATCTATAAAATCCTGCATTCAATATGAAACACAATATGTTGTTAAAGTGATCGAATCATTTTAGCGAAAAAAAACATCTCTTTTTTTTAAAACGGAATAAGTCTATTCCTTATAGTCAAAGTTAAAAAAAAAAAATGAATAATCAAGGTTTCTCAAATTACCGCGTGCTTATTATATAAATACAGTTTTTATCAAAACAAATAAAAAAAAAAAAAGACTTAAAAGATATCCGCAAAATTACTATGATGCAACTGTATGAAACGTCAGGATTAACCTTTGCCAATATTTTTAAACCCGTTCGTACACAAACCCTAAAATAACGAGTACTTCCTGTCATCTCTCTGCAGCATGTAACTTCCGCTTGATCAATGATTTGATCCCTTTTTTCGCCTTTCTCATAGCACTACTCAGGGAATAATCAATAACTTACCCTGAGTTATTTTCTTCGTATATAAAGTAGGAGTCTTAAGATTATGCGATTTCTCCACTCTCCATACTTTTTCCTTCTCCGTTACTATAGTTTCGGAAAATATTGCTTTTCCCCCACGCAAGTGTATCCCTAATGATTATTAAAACGTACTGCGGTGGAGAAAAAGCAAGATTTGTCGAAACCATTCTAACGGAGAGGGAGAAAGTGTGGAGAGAAAGAGAAAATCGCGTAACTTTGAGATGCATATTCTGTCTATTACAAAAAATGTATTATTAACAATTTTAATAATTTACCATGTTTTGTCCTGATTATGATTATTACTTACCATTCTCTGCATGAACAGCAGCTATAAATCTCTTTCCAGTCACGAAACAAATTTTACAGTTACTTCTCAAATTACAAAAAACTTGGGAAGGTTCTTCCGGCAAAGTATTGTTCCACATTTCTTTTCCATTCGAAACCGTCAAAGATTTCAGTTTTCCACCATCTTCGTTGACGTGTCCGAAAATGACCAATGTTGGATTACTTTGCGTATTTGTCCTCAGGTTCGTAGATAATTCTAAAAAAGATCTTAAGTTACAGTTAGAAGTAAAAATATTCATTATTGTATTACAAATTACAAGTAGATTGCATGATTTTCATGCAATATGAAAAAGTTTAAATTGGAAACTTCTTAATTGCAACAGCACTTTTTTAAAAAAAATATCATCTAATCGTTATAGAGATGTCCAAGCCAAAGGTTGAGCTATATGACTGAGTTGAATAAATCAGTTGTCATTTGCACCATTCCTATTAGACGAGTCATACTCAAAGGCCAATAGAAACATATTCCTATAGGTTGCCCTCTGTAACTGATTGATCATTGATGGATTACCTGTGGTTGGTGACGTCATCTTAGACATCACTATTCACGCTGAAAGATAAGTAATTTATTTACGTCGATCTAGAGCTGCGCAATGGACTATCAGCGATTGTCTGGCAAACATCCTTGAGGATGATCTGAACACATGCCATCACAATTTTGATCCTCTGCAGAGGGGATGGCACCCCTGCTTTGGTAGCCCTTTAACCCGAGAGAAGTCAGCACTTTACGGGAGCAGTTTAACGAGGACCTATACCGCACACTCTGAGTCCTTACGCAGACTGATCAAAGTGGTCACCCACCCGCTTACTGACAGTAGCCCGTGATTCTTGACTTCGATGTCACACTGAGAACTGTGTCTTCACGATCAGTCCCATTGTGGGACCAATTCAAGCTTAAAATATAACGATTGATTAACAAGTTCAATTTAGATGGTGTTAGTATTTTAAATTACTGTTTAAGCTTCTTCTAGAAATAGTGGATAAACAGTTAAAAGGACAACGTAAAGGTTTTTAAAACAACTACCGAGTTTCATTGAATCGATGAGTCCGAAAACTAGCCTCCACTTTCTTTCATAATTAAAAATCTTGTATTCTTAAGTGTAACCGGTTTAAAAATTTCATGTTCTCCTACCTGGTTTAGAATTTTTTTGAGCAGTGAAATTTTTATTTAGTTTGAAAATGCGTCATATTCTGGCGATGGCCTGTTCTCCAAAAGAGCCTAGAAATATATCACCAGAAGGCTGACGTTGCTTATGAAATTGTCCGCATAACCTAACAATTATTTGGTTTAGGTTTGTTATCTTGTAGAAGCTTTATATCACACAATGAGTGATTCAAAGGGTAGGTCTTTAGATGGTATATGCAAGAAAATAAAGAGAAATAAAAGTAACTATGAACTGTAAAGAAAGTAATTTTAGATAATATACTTAATTTCAAAGGCTTTTGGTTGGAGCATTATAAGAAAAACGTGTTATCAAAGTGCTTCCAAGCTAAAGCAAAAAAGGAGAACAGTGTCACATTTAGCAATTTTACTTATACAAGCACTACACCTGGTTAAGTTGAAGTATCTCCATCTATTGGAGATTTATGCAGATTAATATTTACTCTGTACAAAAAAGTACTCTAAAAAAGGTACCTTAACCAGTTAAAAGTATATTTTGGAAAAGTTGCCATAAACTACATGAAAACTGCTGACATAAGAGTTTTTAAAATATGAATAAAAAGAATTTTTGTCTTTCTATGAAGAAATTCGTAAGTGCTCCAGCACAGATAAACATAATCCAAAGGATTTTTGAAACCTACACAAATATCAATGAATATATAGTCTAAGATTTAAATAAAGTCTTTATTTCATTTCTAAATGACAAATTATCAATATTTTTGCTTGCTAAAAATAATTTATAGTATCGTTTTAAGGTTTTTTCCAGAAACTGGTCATCTCCAAATTAGAGTTATTTTTTTAATTAAAAAATTGATTTTTATAGTACAATTACAATAACATATTTTGTAATCAGCCATATTTTAAAATCAAAACTAAAAACGCTCTATAAATCAAGCTGATACTTAACTATTTAGTTTTTTGTTTCTCCTGTAAAATTAATTTTGTTGAAGATGACCGGTTTTTGAACTCGGTGATTAAATTTAAAATTAGGTTTTAGTTGAGAAAAAAAAATTTTTTTTCTCGTTAAAATATTGTCACTGTTTTTGGAAAATTGAATTAATACTATACGACAAAACCACTTCTTGCATATTGTAAAACGCTACATTTTTAATTGCTAGGCGCGTCAGTTTTTGTCATTTTATCGCTTGGCGTAAGGAACATGAAATTTTAGTGACGAATATTAATTTATCTACACATTTACAATACCAAAACATTGTGTTTTTTTTATTATTCTCAACACGAATACATTAAATATGCGTTGTAGCGACTGGTAATTTTGTTTCATGGCTCCTTAACCATTGCAATTGGCATAGTAGCGCCCATAACATTTTTGAACAGCAGGTGTTGTGAGTTGAATACTAAAACACTCTCATGTTTATATAGCCTGGTGTAAGTTAAATCTGTCGTGGATGAAAGTTCTTTCGTTGTTTGAGGTGCGGAAGTTTGGAGAGGGGTACCAGCTCGGGCTCTATCCACGTCGTCTGACCAGGGCATTCCTATCATGGCCGTTAAAATATAGAGCTCTGAAAAAGGGACTAGATGCTTGTATAAGTTTAGGTGATCTTATGACTGACAAAGAGAGGTAAAAATATATTTCAACTGTGTAAATTTCGCCTTCTTAAAACAACCTGCCTTATTTCATAAATTAAATTTAGTGAAAAAAAGTTTTACTTTTATTTCATTATGTTATTATTTTATCTTTTTATCTATATAAAAAAATTTCGAACACTCTAAAAAGGAGAAAATATTTGGTCGCAGCTTCAGCGACAACCATAGGGCACATTACTTTCATAATGAGCTTCTGCCGGATAGAAATGCATTACAAAATGCAAGCCCGTAAAAAGGGAAAAACTAAAATATTCCCTCTTTAAATTTAAAATATGATTGAAGAAAATATTTTTTTAAAAATATATTAGTGATTGCTCTGATATTTTAAATACGATTTAGTTATTTATAAAAAATCACAATATACGAATTTAAAAATTATTTAAAGCTCATTTTGTTATGTAACAAATTTTTTTATACAGATGTTATAACGTTTAACAGACTAGCCAAAGATCTTGATATTTTTAACATGTATTTAAAAAAAAATATGCTTTTAAAAAATTATGTCTAAATGTTTAATTGTTCCTATTAATTTTTTCCCCTCATTCTGCACTATTGTAATTTTATTATTTTGACTGTTTTATCGCGTTTTATCACCAAAATAAAATAAAAGCCTAATTGTTTTCAAACAACTATTCTAATTTCATAAAATATGTTTAAAAACTGTCATTTAGCTTTAGTACTTACGTAAACTAGTTAGATTCAACGTCCATTTTTCTTCCGCCAACAGACACGGAGATAGCCAGCAAGGTATCAGCCAAGCAAATGCAACAATATACAGAATTCCACCATTGAAGGACAATATGAAGCACAGTTTCCTCAATAAGCTCATGCCTTGTCGAGTTTCCTGCTTTTTTGGTTCGTCTGAAGAATCACTGTGGTACTTCTTCTTGCACGAACTTTGATAAATATCATCTGCGCTTAGTGTTCGATCCATTGGAATGGTGCCGTGATCGACGACTTTATTTTTGGCTAGATTAATAGGAGTGGTTTCGTCTACGCTCGTTGAACGCTTCAGCAAATTATCAACAGCACCCTTCAACTCCAGTCCACGCATGGCTGTCATAAAACGAAAAACAAGAGTTATTATACAAGTCGCTGTAAAATAATGTGACCAAAACAAAAAAAAGCAACAAAAAAAATAAATAAATCAAAATCACGTAGAAGCACAAGAGATGCACCAGTGCCAGGCTCGTTTAATAAAAAGAGATTTCGGGCTCGGACTGATGAAATTTTCATATTACCACTTTTAAACAAACGATTGATTCAGTGATTAAGAATAAAAAATGCAAAAATTATGAGGCATTAAAAATTAAAGTTATCTGTGCTTTTTCGTTTTGAGGCTAACACTATTTGTCAAATGACTTCAAGATTTTAATTTTCTTTTTTAATTTTTGTTTCAGTCATTTTAAAGTTTCAGTCAATTCAGTTTTTTTTCTTCCTTTTTTTACTGGCTAGTGCTAAAAAAAAAGGTTTAAATGACTAATTTCCTTATTTAAACATCCTAGTCTAAGTGATAAGACAGCATAATTCGGGTATACCTCAATCTCTGGTGAATTTAGGCTCTAAGTAATCCTCCCAAATCAAAATTTTTGATGTTTTTCCATTGATTGACCAATATAACGTTGATGGTAAACGTTAATAATTCCATCATGAACCATTATATTTTTGATAGTAACCAACATAAGTAACCATCACTCCAATGTAGGAATTCGGACTGATTTATGCCTAGTCCAACATAAGAATAGCAATTCGTTTTGATGGCTTATTTATGCTGAACCATCAGAAATTTCCATCATAGTTCCTTAGAAATCAAATGTTGGAATGATCATGAACCACCATCACCCCAATGTAAGAATTCAGGCTGATTTATAAAGGTTCAACATAAAAACCCAAGTATTTTTTTATTGTATTATCCCGAGAACCAAAAGGAATTCCCATCATGGAAATGTATAATTGGAACCACCACGGATCATCCTGAACTGTTGGTCCATGAGAATCAAACTTCTCTTTATGGTTAACCATCATAGGATTAAAATAGCATTTTCCATCATGGAATGATGGAAGTATGTTGGCATATCAAAAACCATGAAAGCATAATGGAAAATGTTGGACGATAGTGACCATCACATGATGTTGGACCATCAGGAATCGCACTGAAAGCAACATAAACCACAAAAATGTTTTAATGGGACCATTAAGAATTTTGACTAGTATATGTATCTCGGGCTCGGATTAAAATTCTTCAGGTTCTGACCTCCAAAAGTGAGCCAGAACTCATCTCTAAAAATCATGTAGTCGTAAAAGCTTTCCAAAGCCACATTTCTATGAAAATACGAAATGAGCAAATTGACAAGTCTTAAAATAATTAATTAAATTTTATTAATTATTCTTTTCTAGTTTTTAAAATTACTTATTTGTGGAACACGGACGACTAAGTTGGAAGCATTATTGCAGTTGGCAGCAGAAATTGATCAAGACACATTTATGTTTTAGAAGGCACGTTATTCCGAGTCACGTCGTTGTAACGAGAGCCTCCACTAGATGTGGTCTTTATCGAAGCATCGTAAAATATTAATGATAAAACGATATTTAAAACAAGTTTTCATGATGTATCAAAAATACGATAATTATCTACAATGACAAACGTCGATATATATCGATATATTTATATCGATATAGATGTATATCAGAAATAATATCGCGATTAACTGAATGAGTGAAACCTCAGCTGTGAAGATGTTTCACAGTTCAAGAACATGTATCAGTGCACATTCTCTCTCAGTCTACAGGTCTCTCTTAACTCTACAGTCGCAATTTTGCGAACATAGAGTTTGGCGAAACGAATCATCAAGTGGTTCGAATCAGTTAAATTCGGTAATTAGAATTACTTGTACTGATACAAACCGATTGATTCTAATTATTTTTTTGTTCAGAATACATACTTGATTATAAGAATACAGAATAACATAAGTTATAATTTTCAGAAGAATAACATAAGTTATAATTCTCAGAAGAACAACATAAGTTATAATTCTCAGAAGAATAACATAAGTTATAATTTTCACGAAGAATGCGTTTATGTTTAAATAAGTAAATGTTTACGTTTAAATAAGCAAATGTATAAGTAAGTAAATGTTTCATTACGTTCTGAAAAATTTTAGCTTACAAAAAAAAGCAAATTAGTTATATTGAAAAACACAGCGATAAATCGATATCTCACTATTAAAATTCCGATATTGTTCAGTAATAGTATCCACAAGTCTTAAAAAAGCTTTTCCAGATCTGATCATAAATGTAAAACATATTTTGCAAAACAGTATAAATAAAATAATATATTAATGGGACCGGAAAGTAATGTCATTTTGGTGCATTTGATATTTGTTTTCAAGATTTGAATTTTTATTAAATAATATATTCACCCTCGTCAGCAACAACCTTTCAATGCCGGATCGAAAAAATGAATTGGTTTTTAAGACTAACAAATATTTAATGCGCCGAAACGACATTACTTTCCGGTCCCCCTAATAGAATGGTATTTGCCTCTGGCCCTTGTATAAAACTTATAAAAAAAACCTCTACCAGATCCGGATAGCGTTCGTGATCTAATTGTTGGGGAATCTTTTTCTATGCTGCCTGTCATTTTAATCAAGTTATTTTGAAACACCCTGTATAAATAACTAATTATTAAGATTATTGTTTGCATATTGATAATGAATGCGAAAAAAAATCAGCATTTTAAACTTCATGGTTTATTCTAGGTTTACCAGAACTCACATTTTCTATACTATAAATTTTAAATTATTAATGAAGGTAAAACAGAATTTGTCATGATAAGTTTCTTTCACAGTATGGCGTCTTCTTAAATGTCGAGGGGAACGTGACTTTGAAAAATATCAAAGTATTATTTATTCACTTTTCTGTAATTCAACCATTATGCAAATTTGAGAACATTTTCTCAAAAGACCAGCTTATATAAATGAACGACATCGCATTTTTTGATGGCGCGTGTGCGTATGTGAAATTAGCCTTTTCAAAATTTAAATGGCGTTTTCATAAAAATAGTGTTTTCCAACTAGTTGATTTAATTCTTCCTTCAATTTTTATTCCAGTCTCTTAAAAATTCAACGGGGTGTATTTTAAATAATATTAGCTTAAGTTACATATACGAGTTTTATTGCATTTATATTTGGAGATAAATTAAATAAATCTGATTTTAAAGATATTTCTAATCAGTATGTTTTGATTATGTAAGTGTAATATTCAAAAATTCTTATGCTTAACGAAAACTTCTACAATAACTTACATGCTTCTAAATTTCTAAGTAAATAAAGTTACCACCGTTATCAAATCTCATCAGAAATGTACCTTACAATATTTAAAGTTTTTCTTTTGTTTGTCTTTAACTAAAAATCACATGATGTTGGNAAGAATAACATAAGTTATAATTTTCACGAAGAATAACATAAGTTATAATTTTCACGAAGAATAACATAAGTTATAATTTTCACGAAGAATAACATAAGTTATAATTTTCACGAAGAATAACATAAGTTATAATTTTCACGAAGAATAACATAAGTTATAATTTTCACGAAGAATAACATAAGTTATAATTTTCACGAAGAATAACATAAGTTATAATTTTCACGAAGAATAACATAAGTTATAATTTTCACGAAGAATAACATAAGTTATAATTTTCACGAAGAATAACATAAGTTATAATTTTCACGAAGAATAACATAAGTTATAATTTTCAATATTAAAATTCCGAAATTGTTCAGCAATAGTATCCACAAGTCTTAAAAAAGCTTTTCCAGATCTGGTCATAAATGTATAACACATTTTGAAAAACAGTATGAATAAAATAATATATTAATGGGACCGAAAAGTAATGTCAGTTTGGTGCATTTTATATTTGCTTTCAAGATTTGAATTTTCATTAAATAATATATTCACCCTCGTTAGCAACAACCTTTCAATGCCGGATCGAAAAAAAAATGAATTGGTTTTTAAGACTAACAAATATTTAATGCGCCGAAATGACATTACTTTTCGGTCCCCCTAATAGAATGGTATTTGCCTATGGCCCTTGTATAAAACTTATTAAAAAAAACTCTACCAGATCCGGATAGCGTTCGTGATCTAATTGTTGGGGAATCTTTTTCTTTGCCGCCTGTCATTTTAATCAAGTTATTTTGAAACACCATGTATACGTAACTAATTATTAAGATTATTATTTTCATATAGATAATGCGAAGAAAAAATCAGCATTTTAAACTTCATGGTTTATTCTAGGTTTTTCCTGAACATACTTTTTCTATACTATAAATTTTAAATTATTAATGGAGGTAAAACAGAATTTGCCACGATAAGTTTCTTTCACAGTATAGCGTCTTCTTAAATGTCGAGCGGAACGTGACTTTGAAAAATTTCAAAGTATTATTTATTCACTTTTCTGTAATTCAAACATTATGCAAATTTGAGAACATTTTCTCAAAAGACCAGCTCATATAAATGAACGACATCGCATTTTTGATGGCGTGTGTGCGTATATGAAATTAGCCTTTTCAAAATTTAAATGGCGTTTTCATAAAAATTGTGTTTTCTTATTAGTTGATTTAACTCTTCCTTCCATTTTTATTCCAGTCTCTTAAAAATTCAACGGGATGTATTTTAAATAATATTAGCTTAAGTCACATATACGATTTTTATCGCATTTATATTTGGAGATAAATGAAATAAATCTGATTTTAAAGATATTTCTAATCAGTATGTTTTGATTATGTAAGTGTAATATTCAAAAATTCTTATGCTTAACGAAAACTTCTACAATTTATATGCTTCTAAATTTCTAATAAAATTACCAGCGTAATCAAATCTCGTTAGGAATGTGCCTTACAATATTTACAGATATTCTTTTGTTTGTCTTTTAACTAAAAGCCCAAACATATAGAATAGGGGTCTTCCTCTAGCCACTGAAAACCCATCGATGATATTTTTCTGAGTTTTTATAGAACAGTGGTTATCAACTGACGGGCCGCATCCGCCCCGCA